CCCAGCGCCTCCTCCAAGAGCTAGCGGAGCGCAAGCGACCCTACCGCCGAACCCCACGAACGCCCCCGCGGAATCTCATCCTTCACGCGCCACTAGACAACAAAGATTGGCCAACAGGGTTGCTCAATATAGCCCTCAACTCTCCCTTAAATCCTTCCCCTTGTTGAGCTCGTGCTACCCTTTACTCAGCTCAACCACGGGGGACATGGCGTGATCGAGCAGCACCTGCTTGAAGTGAAGCAGGCGCTAGGGTACCCGCTGGAGCCCTCCCACACGCTCGGCGACGATAACAACCCCGCCAGAGAGCTTGACACGCTTTTGTACCTGGCGTTTCAGCACGAGTCGACTCAGAGGAGCAAGGTGCGGCACGTGCGGTATGGCCACTCCAGACTCTTCTTTCTGGGGCAGTACGTGCTGGAGCTGGTCTTCGCCGAGTTTTTCTTGCAGAGGTATCCGAGGGAATCGCCTGCTTCCATTAGGGAGCGTGTTTTTGGGCTGATCGGGAAGAGGAACATGCCCAAGTGGATTAAAGCTTCGAGCTTGCACAATTTGGTGTTCCCATATGATGATATGGATAAGTTGGTCCGGAAGGAAAGGGAGGCAACTGTAAAGTAAGAACCTCTTTTTGTGTCTTGTTTGTTACTCTTCTGTACAATCAACGTGCTTCCCTTTTCTGATGATTGTGTCGATGCTAGCTGTTTTTGTTTACTTTCGTTTTTCTAGCTTTTATTTGAACTTGCTTCATGTTTTTACATTAGAAAGAACATCAATTATAATTTTTGTCAAGTATATCACTCGCTCTTCTAAGTAAATAAAGTGATGAATTATATTGATAGTTCTTAAAGTATTGAATATCCATCGGTTTGGTTCTTATGTTGATATATTTCACTAATGTTTTAAGGACTAATTTGAAGAATTTTTCATTATTTGAGGACTACATAGTTAGTTTCTAATACTTGAGTGATTATTTATATAATCTAATTTTAGGATCTGTTTAGGAGAGTGACACTTTAACAATGCAATTGATGGTCGTCCATGATAGGAATTGTATTTGTAGCTTCTTTACAATACGATATGCTCGTTTTCAAGGAATATATATTTTAGAAAATGCAAGCACGGCTTCATTACAGGGGAGGTCCTCTGTCATGTGTTACTGTTATGGATGGTTTTAGAATGCAGTCACGGTTTTGTCACAATCCATGTATATGAATGCGGCTGATGCACCAGCGGTAGTTGTGAGTTAGGTTGTGGAAGGCCGAAAAACCTTGACGATGTGGAGCTGTTGGGCTGTTGGCACACGAACATCGATATGTTTGGTTGGAATCACCTGACTGGCTAAACTGGATTGCTTAATTATATTAACACTGAATTTTAAGTAATGCCCCCACCTTTCCTTCTCACGGTATAAAGTTATTATTTGGTTCTGTTAGATACAAAACCTTTCTCACTATTCCTTATGCTTAACAAGTTTTCTTTTAATCCTTATATAATATATATCATTTTTAATCTCTTTTAATCCTTGTCGTACTAAAAGGGTCTAAAACTGGTATGTGTAAGGACATAAAGATAATATTTCAACTATAGGGGCTATAGGGGAAATTTTTTGTAAGTATAGTGATCAAATGAGTAATAAAACCTTATTCTTCAAAACAGTAAGGGATTTGGATTTGAAAATTTCGTTGGTGTTATTTTTTCTTCTAACCAAAAACCTGCCTGCAAAATTTGGACATATATGTTTGTATGTTGGGCCTGCTCTCTAGCTCAGCATTGTGTTTCTCCATGTGCCTAATCTTCCATGATATGGGCTGAGTTTGTGGGAACAATGACCTTTGCTTTTGATGCTAGCTTCCTTTGGAGACCAAGCTGTTCATTCATAAATTGTAATAATTAAATATGAGTTGCATACTGTTAAAGGGAAATCTATGAAAGAGAAGACAAATTTGTTCATTAGCAACTCATGAGGATATTCTTTTGCTATTTTAATCCATTAATTGTAGAACGACCTTAATCAATGAAACATCTGTCTGGCAATAGTATGTTTCTTGAATGTATGGACTTGAGATAAAAATATGTTCTTGAGGGCATGAAAGACACCTCTCATGTTCTGTTATTTATATAGATAAAGAGTTGATACAATAGAGAGATAGAAGGTCAAGTCACTGTCCTAGACTGCTAGGTACAATGATTAGAGATAACCCAACACACTACCCCCTATTTTAGTCCTACTGACTACACTAATAATTAGACTTAGTAATTATTCTAACACTCCCCCTCAAGCTGGAGCATACAGATTGTATGTACCAAGCTTGGAACAAATAAACTCGATCCGAGGTCCCCTTAATGACTTAGTCAACACATCTGCGAGTTGGTCATTTGATCCAACAAACTCGGTACATATTTCTTTTGACAATAACTTTTCCCGAACAAAATGACAATCAATTTCTATATGCTTATTCCTCTTGTGAAACACTGGATTTGATGCAATGTGAAGAGCAACTTGGTTATCACAATACATCTTCATACTCTGGATGTCACAGAAGCTAAGCTCTTGAAGGAACTGTTTCACCCATATAAGTTCACATGTTAGTGATGCCATTGCCCTATATTCAGCTTCCGCTGTTGATCGAGCCACTACATTCTGTTTCTTACTTTTCCATGAGATAATGTTTCCTCCAAGGAAAACACAATATCCAGTAGTAGATCGTCTATCAATAGGAGAACCTGCCCAATCGGCATCACAATATCCTGATACCTGAAGGCTTCCTTTTTCTTCATATAACAGCCCTTGCCCGAGAGCCTTTTTCAGATACCTTAGAATGCGAATGATAGCATTCCAATGGCCAACACATGGAGCTTGCATGAACTGACTAACCACCCCAACAACAAAAGATAGATCTGGCCATGTAATAGTGAGATAGATTAGTTTTCCAACTAGCCTCCTATATCTCTCCGGGTCGGAGAATAACTCACCTTCTTCTGTTGTTAATTTTTGATTTGGGTCCATGGGACTCTCAACCAGTCTACAATCAATCATGCCTGTTATTGAGGGCTTGAAAAACACCTCTCATGTTCTGTTATTTATATAGATAAAGAGTTGATACAATAGAGAGATAGAAGGTCAAGTCACTGTCCTAGACTGCTAGGTACAATGATTAGAGATAACCCAACACACTACCTCCTATTTTAGTCCTACTGACTACACTAACAAATAGTCTTAGTAATTATTCTAACATATGGTTTTGTTGTTTGCTATTATCATGGCAGGTCTGTGTTTTGGGCTTTGTTTGGAGCAATCTATCTCTGTTTTGGTATGCCAGAAGTATATCGTGTTCTCTTTGAAGTCTTTGGAATGGATCCAGATGCTGAGGAATGCCAGCCCAAATTGCGTAGGCAACTTGAAGATATAGATCATGTATCTGCCGAGTTTGAAGGCAAGATAAGCTGGCAGGATATGGTTGCGTACAAGGCATGTTCTACAATCTTCTGGCACAGTATTATTTATTTTAAAAGAGCTACCACAAAAGCAACTAAATATTTTGAACTATGTTTGCCAAACCTAATCTTGCTTCATAATAAATTCAAAATTGTTTCTCTGCTCTTTTGTCAGTTGTGCATGCAAAACCCTGATGTTCAATGTAATTGGCACTATGTTATTATTTGGAGAACAGCAATGATGTTTACTGCTCTGCATTCAGCCTCCTGCAGATGCCTTGTTTGCACATCCACGGCTCTTCAGAGCTTGTGTTCCTCCAGGCATGCATCGGTTTAGAGGAAATATATGGGATTATGATTGCAAACCGCAAATTATGCGAGTCCTTGGATATCCACTAAAAATGACAGATAGAATTCCAGAAATTACTAAAGCCAGGAACATAGAGCTTGATCTTGGTTTGCAGGTATCTCTATTATTGCTTCTCATTCTGATTTTAATTTTCCCAGATCTGACTATTACATAAACATTGACTTGACTTCCGAGGGTTGGGGATATCTTTTCATGCACCTCTAAATAAATAAATAACCATTCATTCTTCCATTGTCCCATCCTTGGGTTCAATATTCATATTACAAAGGCCATGAGGTTGTTCTATGACAATTAAAGTTGTCTGGAGTGGTGGGACTGTTATTTAACCTGTTGTGGTACTTGCCAGTGATTCTGTGGTAATTCAGAAGTAAATAGAAAAAGAATTACCAGTACTGAAGTATTGGTACATCATAATTAATTGATAATGAATTATTGCTGCGTGAATCATTTCCATCGTTTTTATCTGTTTTATTTATTTTTTTATTTGGCCACTGTTTTTGGTTTGTCTACGCAGAGTTCGCCTCATTAAATTGAAGATCGTATCAAACCCATCTAAATATTGAGCATTATTAAAATGAAGTTTAGTTAAGAAATATTCAATGGATTTTTCAACTTTCTTAAATCTCCCAAGAATCTTCCTAGATCAGCTTAAGGTTCCCAAATTCCCCGTTAATGCTGTTGAATTTCTTGTTGAATCACAGCTATGTTTCTTGCACCCATCAAAGTACAAATTTGATCATCCTCGATTTTGCTACGAGAGATTAGAATACCTTGGCCAAAAGATTCAGGTACTAATCTTTCTTTTCACGGTATTAGTATTTGATCGAAATGAAACTCTTTATATCATAAACTAAAATTTTCTCGTGTCTTTGCGTTGCATACCGTATAATTTGTCTTTTTGGGAATTTTTACAGGATTTGGTAATGGCTGAAAGATTGTTGATGAAGCATTTAGATGCTCCAGGGTCATGGTTACAAAATAAGCACCGGAGGTTTCTTATGAACAAGTTTTGTGGAAGATATTTGAGGTATAAAAATCTCCACCACTTTATTATATATTCCGAAGAGGTTCAAGACGCATATCAGCGCAGCTATAGACTGAAATACCCAGTCAATACGGCTGTTCAACAGGCCCTTCACGGGCTTTCATACGCTGTTTATGGTAAACGTGATGTGAGGCGTCTGATGTTTGAAGTTTTTGACTTCGAGCAAATCCAGCCTGAGCCAATGTAAATATGAAGAGACAGTACAATAGTGACAAGGATAGAAGCATTACACATGATCATTTGGTCCCTTGCTTTAATTGATTTGCAAGTTCTTTTGAAGTTGCCCTTGTATATATATATATTCATTGTATACTATTAATTTTGAAGACTGAGAACTAAATTCTTAAAATTGCATGGAGATGCGGATGTGTCTGGCTATATAGACAATGGTTTTGTTGGTTAAGTAGGTGATTTTAGGATGAATATTACCTCATACTTGTCCATTGTAACAAAATTATGTGGCAGAAGTTTATTCTAACTAATCATTATGAACCTCCCCTACCTCCTAAAAAACCTCACAAAGATGTAGATATAGAATAGTTCTCAGTCTTTACACTCTTCGCATTGTGATCATCATGCTACAATTTCATCTCATGGTTTGAGAAACAGTGGCCTTTTTCAAAATTTGTTGTTTGGAGAACACTCTACAGGTTGCTTTGGTTGGTCGAATGAAAAGGTTGCCCTTTTTTCCAATGATAAATTTTGGTGCTCCTTTTGTTGACTTATGCATGTATGAATCCACTTACTATAGCATTTGCGTATTTCCAAATTTTCTGATTCTTGTCACTTATTGTTAGGAGTTGGAAAGTCTAGGAAAGGAGAAGGAAGAAGAGTACCGAACGGTAAGGGAATGGGAAGAAGAGTCTGAATAGTAGGGGAATAAGAGTGACGGAGATAAACGGTATCTACTCTAATATCGAACGGTGGTTGCAAGGGAGGAAGGAGTGAAGCATCGAACAGTGTTTATACTAATATCGTTCGGTGGCTGCAAGGGGGATGAAGTGAACGGTACAAGGTTGATAATATTGAACGGTAGAGAATGAATAAAAAGGGCGGGAAAGTTTGTTAGGTTGCTAGGGGGAGCGAGAAAGTATAAATAAACCTTCTGTGATTCTATTGAGTAGCTAGTCATTTCTTACGTTTTGAAAACAGGTCTTGGACCTTGTTTGAGGGGGATTAAGCTCCCGTTATTGTATTTCGTTTTATAGTTACAATGAATAAACGGTGAAATTCATACTATTCCTTTGTTTTCTCTTGTTTATTTGTTTTAGTGTGATTGGGTGTTGCGAAAAAAGTTAGATCTCTTACTCAGAAACCTAACACTTTTGTAATATAATATTCGTATTGAGACAACCCTAGCATGTATCGAAAGAATGTCGTGGTGCATGAAAGCACCTACTGTAGCTAGGATCGCACTGAATTTCATTCATTGAGTGGCAAATGCTTATCGAGTCCAAAAGTATCTAGACATTTCTTCTCGCTTATTTTCTTAGTCAAGTTTAGAGGAAGGCTTAAAATCCTAAATTGGCTGTTGGAATGATGTATACTTATGTTGGAATGATGTATACTTATGGGGCTGGGTGAAGGTTCAAACATGTAAAGTTCTTGTATTAGGCCTTTTTAAGGTTTTAAAATTTAATTTTAGTACCATGCAATATGGACTGTCCAATTAGCAAATAGATAGGACGGTGAAGCAATACAATAGTCAAAACTCAAACCATCTAATTTAGAAAGTGTATCATATAGACTGACTGGTTAAGGAGTGAAACAATCCGCGTAAGGCAAGTAAAACATCTCAATTAAACCTATAATCTTGTTTAAACAAATTTGAATTATAGTTAGGTCGATTTTAATAAAAACCTCATTAGGAAAACTATAAATAGAGGTTCATGTAAGGTGGTGAGTTACATATATAATTACATAGTTATTACTTTTGTGCTTAGATTTAGATTAACTTTAACATCAAAGGATCTTTGATAGGTATTTTCGATCAATTTGACCAAGAAGAAAAACAAGAAACTTTGGACGATTGCTTATTAGAAGTGATTGATCGCTCTAGCATACCGAAACATTTTGGCATCCACATGGGGTCAAGTGATCACTTTTAAACTCACATGTTAACCACAAGAAACATAATAAGCAATGTTGTCCTGGAAGAAACTTCAGACAATCATATGGATCCTAGGAAGATGACAAGGAACTTGCAAAAGTGCATGGATGGAATGCATAATAGATATGAGGAAGAGTATAGAACCATGTATGCTGAGAACGCAACCATTCGGGACCAACCAAACAACGTGACGAACCTATTTGTATAGCTTAGGATAGCAACTTTGGATCCAACAAAGATCATAACCCATTTATTGTGATGATAAATACATCGGATGCTCCCGTTCACCACATAAATTGCAGATACCCCTCTATTAAACCATTGAAGAATGCTTGTATTTGAAAGATACAATAGATCTATTGGTCCAGATGAACACATAAGGATAACCATGAATCAAATGGCTCTATATATGATAAATGATGTCATTTGGTATCGAGTCTTCTCCACATTGTTAAAGGGAGACACTGACTTGATTTTCTTTACTTCCACTAAACTTTATTGATTGTTATATGTCTCTTTTGATTATAAAAACATCCTGATTAATCCCACAATGAGGTTTAAACGAATTTGGGCCGTAATAGACTCTAATCAAAAGTTCATTAGGAACGACGTATCACTTGAAACAAATATTAATTATTTTATATTTAAAAAAAATCTAAAATTTTTTTTAGTACTAATTGTTTTAAGTACTAATTGTTTTATTTTTCTAAGAATAAAAAACTTTAATAAATTCAAAAAATAAATTTTAAATAAAATAACAATAAAAATTATTTTAGGTTTTCTAAACTTTTGAATCGTATTTGTATAATCTTCTAGACTTTTGAATCGTATCTGTGTATACTCCAAGCGGTTTCATCGGGTTCGACCTCTCATCTCTGAATTAATAAGCTTGGTTAAGTTACTAACAATGTTTGTTTGTTTATTCATACCAAGTGGTTATAACTAGTTCAAACATTTTCTTGAATGTCTTTTTTAACATATGGGAAAACCTTAATTCCTCCGTCAATTTTAAGATCGAAACTTTTTATTGTAGATATATTTAAGACATTTAGAAATACATGGTGATTAGAGTCTGGTATTATTTTTAACGTGCAACAACAGGTCCATTGCAAAGCTTTGATTTGAAAGTTAGAAGTCTGTCTATTCTATTCTAAACGAATGGACAATTTGGAGGTTATATTCATAATGGGGGCAACAACTTCTTACATCAGAATTACTTTTGAGAGTTTGGCATTTTTCAATTGGTATTGCACACACCTGCTACCATGCGCTCATTTGAAAAGACTTCATATGTGTAAGGCTATTATCAACTTTTTTAACATTCTAAATAATTTTTATCGCTGTTTTTCAATCTAGTTAATACAAAAATGTATTATTCGATTTACGTACACATTTAAAACATGCTCCGAGCGTTGTGATACAATTTTTAATTAGTTTATTGTAAGTCCTGTTTATGATATTTGGAACTCTGATTAGATATTATTAATCATAAATTTAAATTAAAATTTATAAATATGGGTCAAAGTAAAATGATAGACAATTGTATTTAATATTTTGTATTAATTATGAATTTAAAATTTTAATATGATTATGATTATTTAAATTACTGACATGAGTATTTGGGTGTCTATGATAAGTATCATTAGTATTGATTGACGTTTAAACATTATAAACAAAACAAAAATACATAACCTAAAAAAAATTCGAAAGAAAGTGTAAAGAAGTGTTTTTCTAAAGATGTTTAATCCACTTGAAACAAAATTTATTATTAAGTTATTTGCCAACCATATCTGAGCTTTCATTTTGATGATATCCATTATATTTTAATAAGACTCTAAATCCGATTATACCAAAGAGCCTATGATGAATATTTTTTGTGCATGGTAAAGCATCACCTCAGACCAGTTTGGTAATTGAAATAAAATAATTTTAAGGACCTAAAACGGCATGAGGGAGAGCCTAGTATACCAGCTTTATTGAGTAAGGGAAATGATCCTCAAACCTCAAACCATTCCAAAAAAAGTTACCGCAAAATCGGATGGGTAGGTACTATTGGTTTGACACTTTTACATATAAAAAAAAATATCAGAGAATGTAAATAGTATGTGTTATTGTCCCTACACACGCATTAAATATGCGCACGAACCACCGGCACTACTTCTCCGCTTCTTGCTAGTATGCACCCTTGTCGCCTTGCGTGCGCCGGTTGCGCAACCCCCTAACCTGCGCATCTCCACCCACCTCATCGAAACTAAGACCATCACAACCCTTCATCAGCTCCACAGAACCCAGATCTCGGGTTCCAATTCCCAATCCATGTCGAAGGCGCGTGTCTACACCGATGTCAACGTTCTTCGCCCCAAAGAGTACTGGGATTACGAGTCTCTCACCGTTCAATGGGGGTATTATTCCCATCTCTAATATACTTCTCATCGTTTTGTTGATTTCTTATCTAATTTGTTTTCAAAGCTTTCTGTTGCGCCTTGATTAGCCACAATTCTCAATTGATGGATACTTTTCTTTTTAGGTTATGACCCTTAGGTGCTGTTTTTCTTGTTTTGGTTACTTGTCCTCCATTTCAAATACCTAAACCTTTAACAATTTTTTGTCACATTCTTTTCAAGTCTTTATTTCCAATGGGGATGCTGAATGTTGTCGTTTGTGTTATGATTATATTATTGGATCTCTCGGCCCTCTTACGTTCGTTATGTGGTATGAACTCGGTGAAGCCGATTGACCATGACGAATCACCTTGTCATTTGAAATTGGTTGATGTAATTGTTATATGTAGTCTAAATTGAAATACTTAAAGATTTTGTTGATTCTGTGAGCAAGGTTCATCGCCAGGGTATGCATTAGGTCTAATATTGATGGGGCTTTACGTTTCCCATTCCAATTATCTTATTTATGAATTTTCTGTGTGCTCTTTTCAGCGATCAGGATGATTATGAGGTTGTGCGAAAAGTGGGAAGGGGGAAGTACAGTGAGGTTTTTGAAGGCATAAATGTTAATAGCAACGACCGCTGTATAATCAAGATTCTCAAGCCTGTTAAGAAAAAAAAGGTGAGAGATTTTGTTATTACATTGATGCTGTTTTCGAACTTTGGGACCTGCAGAGTACGAGTAAAAGGTCGAGCAGGGGTGCTTCATGAGAAGTTTTCTCCTAAAATTTACGCACAAGTTTCACACATACTCTTTCACTATTTTCTTTTGAGCTATTGGATAACAACTTGACAACTCTGCACAATCTCCTAACACAGTTCTGCAATAATTATTTCCAAAAGAAAAAACATAAAATAAAATACATAACATTTGACCTTTGGAAGTTATACTTTGAATAGAGAAGAGTAGCTTCAAAGTTCGAACTAGTTCACCTTAGCTGAAAATTTGTGTAATTATGTGTCCCCCTCAATTTTGGTGGGCTTTAAGGATTATGAATTACACGAGGCTGTTTGCATGGATCACATGACACTCTTTCCTTCAATTATAATACTGTAGTTCCAACAATGTTATTTTGGGAGATCTCGCATTGATTTGAGATAAGACTAATTTATTGTATATAAGTGGGTCAATTCTCACCGTACCTTATAAACTAGTTTTGTAAAAATGAGTTAGACTTAAACCCACTTCCTAATATGATATCAAAGCCTAGTGAGGTTTATTGGACTTATTGTGTCACTTGCTATTGGACCACCTCTAAATATATAGTCCCAAGCATGAGATGTCTATGTCTCATCATGAAAGGAGGTGTTGAAGATTCTACGTGGATTAGAGATCTGATCAAATCCTCACCTTACTAGCTGGTTTTGTAAGAACGAGTTAAGTTTAAACTCATTTCTTAATAGTTATTTACAATGAAATCCTTGTTGACTACTTCCTCCAATGCGTATTGGCTTCCCTCTCCTCTTCATAGAAACCAAAACCATGTATTATTCCTCTAGTTCGTCCTAGGTCTTCTTTATACATGTATAAACCACTTTTATCGATGCATCTCTCATCATATACAATCATTCCGTACTTTTTTCTTTCTTTCTTGTATGACCACACATCTATCTTTACTTGTTTATGCTATTCCAACATTTTTTCTTGCTGTCCCTTTAAGCCCCAACGTCACTACAATAAAATATTGTTGAGTGTATGGCACTAGGATAAAACTGGCCTTTGAATTTGGTTGGCACTTTTCAAACATAAATAGCCCCCACTATATTTCTACATTTGTGTAACATTCTCGTTTTTTTTCCTTGCATTTTTTATTATACTTTAAATATGCTGTATGACATCTTTTCTCAGTTTATCTTGAGTCACATTGTCTCTTGCTAAAATTACAGTGCATATACTTTGTCTTAATTCTGCTCTAGTGTTGGCCCTTAGCTTTCAAAGTTGTCTCTGGAGTTTTGAGTTGAGAGTTAACTGCTTCCCTTGGTTTCTTAGCCAACATCGTGCCATCTACAAAAGTGCATCAGCATGCAATAAGGGGTAGACTTTTTTGTATATCCCTAGTATGCATATCCATGATTAGATTTAAACAAGGACTTTAGGCATCTGTGGGGCATCCACTTTTTGGAACAAAATGCTGGAAAGGAGGGGTTGAGATTGCACACCGAAAACAGGACATAGAGCTGTTCTGCTTCACCT